ATCTCCGATAGCTACGCCACTATAGTGCATCTAGAATACTAAAGTTGGCGTTAAAATAATATTGTTCGTTAAAGTTTAAACTTAACTAAACAATAGAGTAAAGTTCAGGCACCGATCACAACTCAAACGCACTTAACCGTTCACTAGAGGAGTTCCAAGGAAAATACAAGTAGCGAAGTATGTGTCATAAGCAAAGTGTTTATAAACAAACGTTCAGAACATGAAGGTCACAACTATGAGAACTTTCACTCAAAGTCAGGACTGATAGAGAAATTAGTGTTTAAACTTAGTTCCGACAAACTTGGATAGCGACAGAACAAGATCTTGCTCCTTGCAGTCTTGATTTTAATAGGCTTGTTTGTTGTTGAATGGTAGCAATGTAGGGCTAATAAATGAGTCGGTTCGATTACCCAAGTCACTAATAAACATGTCTTTAAAATCATCGTATCATTGCAAAAGAATGTGTTTAAATAAAATATTTTATAATTATTGCAAAATATTTTTCGTTTTTATTTATTTTATTTTGCCTAAAGTTTGGGGCGCTTTGCAGCAGCCATGTCACGGGTGGACACTCGAAATGTCAGATCGTAGTTAAAATATATTTAAAATACGTCAACAAATATATTTTGCGTTTTAAATTGATTAGTGTGAGTGTTTTATTGAATCGTGCAAATATGTCAGTTTTATCTCCCATACTAAGGTAAACTCAATATGTGGTTTTAAAAATACATTTTTATCTTAAAACAGGGAGTTAAAAAAGAGCTGAAATTGAGTGTTGTGTGACTATCATCAGTGTTGCTAGCAGCAATTCCGTCTTACAATTCTATTTGTATATTTACAATTACCACTGCCCTACTGGTCTAGTTGTTAATACACTGTATGTATTGTATACCACGAAGACAATGGTTTGATTACCAGGCGTTAGGTAATTCAGAAGTACGTCGAATCGGTCCCAGTTACATAGGGGGAAGGAGGGTGGTTGGTCATTGCTCCAATAATCCTCTTTTTCAAGAGATGAGACAGTTGTACCCGGCACTAAGATAATTGGAATTACCAAAAAAAAGATTTTTTTACTTACTATAACTGCCCACAGAGCAGTTTGCAACAGTATGCCAAAAGAGATGCCTCTCAATAACGGGTTAAGGTTTTCATTTGTATCCAATTTTCGTGTGTACTGCTTTATAAAGAAGTCCATGAACATATAAGCCATGCCTATTGTTACCGCACTGAGTATAAACTCCAAGAGCGTCACTAGAAAGACAATATTAAGTTTCTTGAATACGAAATTCTATTTACATATAAATAAAATATAAATTTATTTATGTATTCGTTTTACTGGAGGCAATTGGTATGGTGGTGGATAAAAATAAATATGTTGAAATTCCTTACTGTTTTCAATGACAACTCTTGAAAATATATCGAAACTGAATATTGATGAAGAGCACGCATATGCAAAATAAAGGAACTTCTTTATACTATCCCATCTGAAGTGTGTATCAGGGTCGAATTCCTGCTAAGATATACAAAAATAAAAATTAATTGTACACCTATACTAATATTATAAGACTCAAGCGTTGTTTGAACGCGCTAATATAAGGAAGTACTGGTTCGAATTAAAAGATTTTGTGTTGGACAAAACATTTATGAAGGAAGGAGATACGCTATTTAACATCACTCCGAGCAATAGGAACGCAGAAATATTATTGCGGTCAAAGATACTCGAGTAATGTATGAATACGTTCGTCTCCTTTAAATAATCTTAAATAATGTCAGCGACAGTATTCCTTTTAAGATTAAGTCACAAGAACGATTTATACGGGAATAAAATTTCGTCGAAATACTTCACTTCTTTTATCACTTTATTATTATAAGTTCTCGTCGTCTAGTCTGTTCTTGTCCCTAATAAGCAAAAAAGTGATTATCAATGTCAAATTCTTTAATAGAATTTGACAACGATAATCCCTTTTTTAATTATTTATCACCCATCCTCCCACCAAATTCCGAAAACTATTTCCTTTAGAATTATCGATGTTTTCGATCGGCTCACTCCGTTTCCGGTTTCCACCGAAAGCGGAATATTGCATTTGAATTCGCTTCGTGTCCAGTGAGATATTGCTGGCAACTTTATAACTTAATAATAAATGAAACGTAGTTCAGTACAAATTCAAGGAATTACACGTAGATACAAATGTTTAATATTAAATATAATGTTACTAGCTGTGCCAGCTTTTGTTGGCGTGGAGTAGTTATTTTGACATATTTAAGTTCCTCAGCTGTATGAATAGCCGTTACCCACAACATCATTTAAAGATAAACATATCCAAGAACATATCTAAGAAACTCTAGATTTATACTCTATTAAAAATGTATTAATATACATATCATATTCTAACATACCACCACTAGGACCATGTTTATGCATATGTACTTACATTTTTGTCATTTAGCGACGTAGATGTACTTGTTGTCAGCTCCAAAACAGTTTTTTGCATCATTGTCAATCTGGGAAAAATTCAAGCTGTGTAGTCTACGCGACTACAGTTCATACTAAGCAATCATTATTTTCCGGCGCTCGAATACGAGACCTCACGCCCCACTCAATGCAATGCAAGACGGTATCTGAACTACAAACGGGGCCATAAAGAAACACCAATTTTGTATTTCAATAAAACTCACCAATTGTTTGTAATCTTATTGAAAATAAATTATTCAAAATATCCACGTGGCGTTTGACATTTTCCCGTTAACACTTTAGCTTCCAATTGAATTTTATTAAATAATCTCTGATGTAAAACGGAAAATAGGTTATATTTTCGTTGTCATTCAATGTCGTGTAGTGTCAAATAATTCACGTGTTGCCATCGTTAATACGACAAAGTTACACGAGTAACGCGCTGTTTGAATGAATACTCTTTTAAGTTTACAATTTTGTAAATAATAATCGAATATAATTTAAAACGAAAATTGTATTGTATTGTTATGCAAGACTGGTTACTGGTTTATGGTTGATGGAAAGATGAATACCCCATTTAAATAAACACTTTAACGGCTTAAAACGGTATATATTAAACTTGGGGAGTCTCCCCGTGACCACGGCTGCTGCAAAGCATCCGAAACGTCGGGCCGAAGTTAAAAATCATATTCAAATAAGTTTTACTAATATATCGCGTTTTAAACCGTTAAAGTGTTTTATTTAAATGTCTACTACTCGCGTAAACTATAGACAGTATGAATACCCCAGCCAAATAATATCTTTTCATGATGCGCTGTTTACGAATTTTGTCTTAAGGCGTTCACATATTAAGTTTAACGCGGATATACTCTTCTCTGCGTTTTGAGAAAGTATTTCGATGTAACCACCATCCATATAATATAACAATGTCTAGGATGTTATATGTTTAGTATTACTATTTTCCATTTAACAAATTGAAAAATTTACGACTCGGTCAGGGCTTAAACCGGCATCCACAGCTATTATTATTATTATTCCATGGTGTTGCTCTAACCAATTGATCTACCGAGTTTAAACATTCGACCTAAAATTGATATCCGAATTTACAATTTATAAAGATGATTTAATAAACATTTGCTATCATCATGAAGTGAGGTAAACTAGACTTTCATTAGAGATAATAACCCAGCAATGCAATTTTGAGCTAATGAGTAGTTAAAAGCCTTCATAAAAGTTTTAAGTACTTTTGTTTACCGCGCAATATGCTCATAATAAAGTTACACACAGTGCTAGTACTAAATACTAAAACTGGAATAATTAAAAATGTTTTATAGGCTGCCTAAACCTACGAGTATTTGTATGGTTATTTTTTAGTACACTTGAGAAAATGCAGTACAGAACGGCGATAGATTGGATTTTAGTTATAAGTAATTAATTAAAAAAAAAAATACTAGGCACAAAGGAAAACCTTGGATATATTTATAGTCCGAGAAAAGAAGTGTCATCAAAATCGGTTCATAATTGACGATTGGTCGAACATACATGAAGTAAGCATATACTTGATTCGTATTAAGAACCTATGTTTTTTGAAGTCGGTTAAAAAGTAGTAATACCATTTTCTTTTTTAAGCCTACATATAGAAACCTCAATAGTTTGTAGAAAAATCTAGAGGGCAATTGGCTAGCGTTTTCGCATTGAAAAATACATTCATGAAAAGCCAGGTTACAAACTCTTAAGAGCCTCGACCATACAACATCCAATTAAGATGCGCTGCGCATTCGTGTTTCCTCTGAAAATACATCGATGACCGAATCGTGCAGTTTTGATTTTAATTGGACGGAATTTCCATATTGCCGTCTACCGCAAGCTATAAACCAAGCACTTAAAAAGTTGTGAAGCTATCGCTTCAATCACTTATCTCTATATTCCATCAACTATATTTTTGTTGAAAAAAAATGGTAAAAATCTACGCTTTATCATTAAAAACCACATTGCATTAATAAATTCCTTCTCATTATTTATATTTTCTTTGTGTCAATCTGTGACAGTTTCGTGAAAGAGGGGAAAAATACTAAACTGTTCAATTCTATATATCTATCTATAAATCTGTAAAAGTTTTGTAAAAAATAATGGTGGAACAAAAGAAACAAATCATCAAGCTATACTTTATTTATTAATTTCCATTATTTGTAAAAAAATACTAAGCTATCCTACATTTTAATTTAATTTCCATTTTATATACATATATCAATCAATTTGAACAAGTAAAAAAAACAGATTACTAAGCTACATTTCATTTATTTGATATCAATAATTTATTTTGTATTACAATTATAAGTGATTTATAGTATCATTAATTAGTAATTTATGTATTCCTGAAAAATTTACTAAACATAATACCTACTTTATAAGTTCCCTACGCTGCCTATTTAATCAAAAATATATCATAGAATTTAATTAGTTTCAGTAGAAGACATTATAGACTATTAAGTTTTGTTTAAGTCAAGTATTAAAAATATTAACTTTTATCATTAAAAGCTTTTTAACATCACGATCGCTGAATAAATTCGGCTGTGAACGGTTGGGCCCCAGATATTAAACCTATGACCGGTTTTTCGGGTGGCAGAACACCATTTCCGCACTGTACCCTGTATTTCTGGACAATTCCAACAAACACGATGAAAATGAACGATTTCGCTAACGAGTCGCCTGGACAGCGTCTTCGACCTGTAAACAGAGACTTTACATATATTCTTTTTCTATACAAATAACATTTTTAACGAGAAATGTCGAACAAAATCATTCTCATTCCTCGAATATATATAGTACTACTGGATCGATTTGAAAAAAATTTTTTTGTGTTAGTTTGACCATTTATCGGGGAAGGCTATAAAACATAACGCTGCGACCAATAGAGGCGAAGAAACATAGGGAAATGTGAAAAAACATCTTTAAGAATTCTGTTGCGTGCGCTGCGAAGGCGATGCAACAAACCAGAAGATATGTATGAAATAGTGATTCTTCTTTAAATGATCGAAAAAAATATGTGTCTATTTTATAAAATTTATTCGCAAGAACGACTGGTCTCGGGCGAAGTCGTGGCTACCAGATATAATTTATAATGCTGAGAAACTTGTTGCAAAAATAAAATTTTATACCCTAAATAACTATTCCACGCGGTCTAAGCGAGCACAGCTAGTAGATATAATAACATTAGGAACCTCGAGTATAAACTCGCAAACACCGTAAAAGTTTTGTCCAGTTATTGAATTAACTTACCCATTCCGAATGGATAGAAATGCTCCGTACTGACCAGGTTTCCGTTCGAATCTAAAAACCTTTCGGGCTTGAATTTATTCGGCTCATCCCAGAATTGTGGATCGAAGTGTATATCGCCCACCCCAATTAACACAGTGGTATTTTTTGGTATCACGTAATCTTCTACCGTTGTCTCCTCTAGCACTCGTCTCGGTCCGGCCAGTGGGACTATCGTGTAAAACCTCTGGACTTCTTGAAGGAACGCTATGGTGTATGTCAACCTGTGGAGACAAATTATTTTTTAATTGAAATACAATGACTAAGTAAGAATGACTTGTATTATAATTATATTATTATACTAAAATATCATCTGTAATTTTTTTTATTATTAATATTAATAATAGCATCATAACTTATATAGATTTGTAATGAAACGCGTAAAACGATCATAAGTGTGTGCCCCACAAATTGTATCGTGGTAGCGACATTATTCGAATGTTTCCTACTTGTCGGATTTTAATTTTATTGAGTTTTTTTTTATATGATTACTTTTACTTAGATTAGGCCTTTTTGATTGCCCCATCTGATAAAAGGGTTTATGATACAAATTCGAAAATTTTTTTGCGGAAAGCTTAAAATTAAAAAATGAACATAATTATATTGATGTATGCTTGAAGATCGTCAAATTTATAAACCACTGTGCCAAAACTGGTCTAATTTTAAATGACTATATTGAATTAATGTTATAAAGTAAAGCAAAGTCAATTAATTGTTATCAAGTCTCATTAACGCCTAAAATTCCAACTAAACGGGCTTTTGATAAAAGCTAAGAGCCATTTGAATAGCTGAGCCATAGAAAAGTCGTATTCAAATAGAGATTTTTGCAACGAAATAAATTACTACTCCATCGGAAAGTACCTCTCTTTATTCTATTAGAGATATTCAATGTTATTTCAGTTTCAGTGGATTTTTGTAAAGCACTTTATATAGAAAACTGTTTTGTGCTAAACGAAACATTGAAGGTTGTTTAATTTATCCAGCTTAGACCATTTGAAAGGTAATTTTATACTTATTAAATTGCTTACACAGGCGAGACACGAACTAATGATAGAATATGGTAATAATCTTGCATTTTATTTTTAATGACTATTGCTAGATAGTAATACATAGTTATCGGCTAGTACCAACGCAAAAAATAGGAGTAAAAAAGATTTACAAATTTTAAATATTCTTGTGATAAACCATATGATATTTTTTTGTCTGCGATTGTGTTTTAAGTTTTGCTTGCAGGAGTACTCAAATACGACTTAGTTAAATACTGTCTGTAGTATACGCGAGTGGTACAAATTTAAATAAAACACTTTAACGGTTTAAAACGCGATATATTTTAGTTAAACTTTTTTGAGAATTATTTTTAACTACGGCCCGACGTTTCGTATGCTTTGCAGCAGCAGTCTCCTCCAGTGACCACGGCGCCAAATATATCGCGTTTTAAATCGTCAAAGGGTTTTATTTAATCGTATTAGTTAACTTATTTACAATATATTTTAACTGCGACGTTTCTGATGATTTGCAGCAGCCGTGGTCACGGCGGGATTTTAAATGTTTTATGTAAATTTTTACTCATAACATAACACTTAACGAATAATTACATTTGTAATCAGTGATATCCGAAATAAAAATAGTTCAGTTAATTTGTTGCATCGCGTGAGCGAAATGAACAAAATTTAAATTCGGAAATTATCTTCCTGCGTGTGATGATTGGGTAGTATATTGAGTTTCAATATGAAGTTTATATTTTTAGGGTTCCGTACAATGAAGTAAACAGATATTATTAAACTTCGCTGCTTGTTGCTAGATCTCTAGAACCACGATCACTAGACAGTTGACATTTACAAATAGGTATTAGTACTTATGTGGCCGTTACATTAAATAATAAAAGCAAAATATCTATACTGATATATATAGCTGAAAAGTTTGTTCGTTTGTTTGAACACGCTAATCTTAGGAACTACTGATTTGTATAGAAAAAATACTTTTGTTTTGGTTAGAGCGCTTATCGAGGAAAGCGATCGTAGGAGCGAAGAAAGAGCGGGAAGAGTTTAAAAATATCGATTCTACGCGGATGTAGTCGCTGACGCAGCTAGTACTAAACATATATATTTACAATGATGTAATGGCGAAAGTTATGTCGAAAAAACAGAAAAGGAAACATAAAAAATAAATATAGTCAACAGTACGGAACCCCTCGTGTGAAGGACACGCATTTTGTTAACTGGACGGAAAAATATCAAATTTCTGTTTGTATGTTACCTATTACTGTCCGTCCAGTTGGGTGTATTTTCACCAATCACCCGTTGAATCTCTTCGAAGACCTTCTCTTGTAACGCTGGGTGTCGTACGAGACACAATATGGCGAACTCCACAACGTTGCTGGTCGTCTGGGATCCCGCAATCAAGATGTCCAGGCAAATACTCTTTAATTGTGCCTCTGAAAGAAGTAACATCGGAAACATGGATATGTCCTTTTTATTTCTTTTTTCATGGGCAAGCAATTAGTGAACCAATGGTAGGTGATTTAAATAAAACACTTTAACGGTTTAAAACGCGATATATTAGTTAAACTTATTTGAAATTGATTTTTAACTTCGGCCCGACGTTTCGGATGCTATGCAGCAGCCGTGGACGGGGAGACTCAAACGAAGTTAAAAATCAATTTTCAAATAAGTTTAACCAATATATCGCGTTTTAAACTGTTAAAGTGTTTTATTTAAATGTGTACTACTCGCGTAAACTATAGACAGTATTCAATGGTAGGTGACATACCCCCGCCAGCAACATCTAAACAATATGAGCTATTTTGGCTATTTGAAAGTTCATAGAATTTCATCTGTGGACGGACTTTCGATATTCTCCTATTTTTTTTTTTGTTACAACAACAAGACCAATTTTATTGTCGAATAAGACCCCCTTAAATATGCCCATATACCCATATATGACGTGTGTGTATGTTTGTAAAATCCCATTTCTCTATTACGGTGGACATATTTCTGTGTCCGTTACACTTATCGAGTTTTTTTAGAAGTATTTATTACGCTTCGCAGGGATTCGAACCACACACAACGCTATGTTATTAGCACATTAAGAAGGCACAGAGATATTTCTCTGCACGACAAGGGACTGAACCCACGACCCACGATCGGATTGGCTGTATATACAATATCAACACAATTGAGTCCCAAAGATGCAATTGCAATAAATTGAGGACAATAGAGGCAAGTGTTAAGAATTCTCTCTCTCAAATGGGTCTTTGCTTTTTAGTCTTGGAAGTGGCTCTCTCATTATTTATTACAAGAGCCATTAAGTGCTTATTGAGAAGTCCGAATGGAAAGAAAAAGGCTTCCCAGAGAGAGAGAGAGAGAGCTAATGTCTACCTTTTGTAGCACAGCTTCGGTTAATCGTAGGAAATGTTTTACATAAATTCATCGTAAAAATGCAGCTACACTAAGTATTGTCTGTACTTTACGCGTTCTTAGTATTTAAATAAAATAGTTTTAACAGTTTACAACATGAAATATATATTATGTTATTTGTTTTTATTAACTACGGCTCAGCGGATACTTTAGAGTTTTAGATTTTAAAGCTTTTGGATTTTAATTCACGTTTTAAGCCGTCCATTGTTTTTAAATAAGAAAACATAAGTAACATGAAAGAGTATCAAAAGAATTTAACTATGGCCCGGCGTTTCGGTTATAGTCACATGGTCACGTGGAGACGAATATATTTCGCGTTTTAAACCGTTCAATGTTTTCAATACGATTATAAATATGGAGAAACATATAAGAGGAATAAATAATGAGTAGGATTCAAAAAGTATGCCATTATGCTTTTTGAATGCATAATTCAATTTTAATTTGCGATTAACGATTTCTAGTTTTGCCAAAAACTTTTGAACTCTGCTTATATTTACTGACTTTTTGGTCCACACTTGAATGGATAACAAATTCAACTTACCGTGAAAATATCCTGAACTTTTATTCTCTTTCATTTCTTCTAGGAATTTATAAATAAAATCGCTCCCTTCAATCGTTCCGTTCTTGTGTTTTAAGACAGCTTCCTGAAATAATAAACATGAATTCTATTAGATATTGCTAAGTTTATATATGTATATATATTACTAGCTGTGCCCGCGACTTCGTCCGCGTGAAATAGTGACTTGGGGTAGAATTTTTAATTATTTATGTAAGGGCGCATTTAAGGCAGCCGATCTATGCTAGTGCTCCTTTGCCGCAACACTCTCATCTCACATAACTCCTACTCTGACTCCCACTCTCATTCCTACTCCCACTCCCACTCCTATTCCCAAAAAATGTTCTAGCTTCAAAAACCACGAATTTCCAAACAAACTTTCATCCGCCTTTTAATCCCTTACAACCCCCTTTTCGCAATAAAAAATATGACCTAGTATACCAAATTTCATTCAAATCGGTTCAGTAGTTTTGGCGTAAAAGAGTAACAGACAGACAGACAGAGTTACTTTCGCATTTATAATATTAGTAAGAATATGTCTTTTTTTTATGGAGAAGGACAAACAAGCATGCTTCAGCCTTATTACCATCTCAACAAAATCCGCTATCGCCCTATTTTGGCTTTGCATATTTGGTGATCCATAGACTGAAGACAGCTTGATGGCGTTTTCATCTGTGAACGGCGGTTCGCTACCCGGACGAAATTTCGGTATTCTTTCCCATTTAATATTCAGATTTCCAGACGAAGTATATAAATACAAATCAAGAGTATGCACAAAATGAGATCACATACTTTTCTTCCTATATATTTTATTCTCTGATTGGTGTCATTTGTTTATTTTTCAGATTCTTGTCTTTTTACTCATGTTATTCTACCATTCCCAGTACGGCAAATACAAAAAGCGTCTATTATATTTTTTAATATAGAATAAAGGTTGTTTTTGTAGGAACTTACCTCGATGATGTCTGATATTTGTATGTTTAAATTTTTGATAAGGTTATACCCACTCAAGTCCGGCATGATGAATCTAATCAACGGCCATTGGTTCAACCAGCCTCCTGCTATCGAGAACGCTTTCGACCTCTTCGCGAAAAGATCTATTATGTACTTCAAACGCTCCTCTTTTATCCTTTCACCTGAAAATTAAAAAGTATACAAAAATATTAGCAATAAAAATCCCAAAATTGGTCCGTACAATCAGACCAAACGAGAGGAAGCAATAGGTTCGTCAAATATGTATAAATAATATATTAAATATGTTTATTTAAAAAAAGCAAACAAATTAAAAGAAAATTAATATTATAATTTCGTTATAATATTATAAATTTATTTCGTTATTATATTATAATATAATATAAATTAAGATTCGTCTCATGCGGGACTCGAACCCGCTACAAACGTATTATGGGCTTGGGTTGCCTTTGTTCACAGTTCGAGTGACCCAAGTGTTAACATAAAATGCGTTAATTTTGCCTTTTTTTTAATGATGATTTTAAATTTAAAAATAATTGACACAAAAATATGTTTGCCCTAGCCCAGTGTAGCGAATAAACGCAAAAGATCCGAAGGATAAACATTTATCTTTTGCGTGCAATCTGAAAACTGAAACGGACAAAGACGTATATTTTTACAACCAGACCAGGTTCATATTATGAAAAAACTTATATTCCAAAGAGATACCTCGTTATGTGAAACGACAATTTTTCCAAGCATGAAACACTTATGAATAGTTTTAATGAACGCTCGCGCCATTCGTGTGGCTGTAATAATTATTTCGAAAACTCGTGCAGTATGCCACAACTAAATCTGCGAGCACTTAGTTTAAGCCTAGGCGTACACCAGTCTAGCGACGACGCGTCGCGGCGACTAGACGCGACGGCAGACTTTGACGTTTGTTTACAATCAGTTTTATCCAGCACTTACCATGTGAAAAACATTGACTTAACGAAATCAACCGATTTACATTACTAAAGTCGGCAGATAAATGACTCAATTTAACTAAAAAGTTTGACGCCAATATGCCAACCCATTAGGTGCTCCGTACTGGAATTAATAACAGCACCGATAAATGGAATGATATTAATAATCATTATAATAATTAAATGTGTGTACTTAACCGTTTTCCGATAAAAAAACACCAGGGTTCTTCTAGTTTTTTTTTGTTTTTGAAGTGAATTGTAGTGTTGGAAAATTTGAGTTCTTATTAACGGTTTGACCTTCATAAGGGTATCTAGATATCTCCCAGGCAACATACATTTAGAATGAGAAAGCCATCAAACAAAGAAGAAGTTACCTACGTGAATAAATGGTTTTTGACTTTGACTCTATAAGCGTCAAAAATGCCAGTCGTCGCGCCTAGTTTTTGTCGCTGGTCTGTTGTGCGCCTGGGCTAAGACCGCAAATAATATTAAACCGTAGCGGACCGTAGTGTGAAGGTCCATTCATATTACAGTAGGATAGGTTAAGTTGTTATATTAATAGTAACGCACTTAGGTGATTAAAACGAAATCAAATGGAAAATAATTTTACGTTTGTTTTGCAACTAACAGTAAGTATTACTGTACAAATAAATAAATGATGAATTCACTTGCTAGGTACATTCTTCACTCTTTTTTAACGGATGACAGATAGGATTAAGATTAGCTTTCAGTCTGTATGTATTACTTTTGGCTACGTACAGACATAAATGAAAGAAATAGCTCTGCCATCTGTGGATCGTGGACGTGGAGTCGATTGTGACAAAAATCTTTATAATTTTAATTGACGAACGAAAAAAACATTATTGAAGAAAATAATGATAAAAATAGATACAAGGTTTTAAAGACGGACTATGTATTTAGAAGTCAATGCCACGGAACAATAATAATTATATGTATTAAAACTTTACAGCCTGCGTAGATTTTTTAGCTACAATTCAAGTGAGATATTCAGTTATTTATATCATGGATTAAAAGAAGACAAAATTACGAATCATCGTCAGGCTCGTTTCTAATAGTAGAAGCTGTAGGCTTATAATCAACGAATCCTGGCTTTGATCCCCACTAGATCTTATATGTTATTAATAAATATATATTTTTTTCTGTAACATATTGGACTTCATATAATCTGTATATTAATGGTACTAATCACAATAACTTGCTTTTAAACCGTTGAAATGATGCCTTTTTTAAAGTCGAAAAAAAATCATATATAAACTATAAATAAAAATCTACATTTTTGGGCGATTAAAACGGCTTTCACAATGATCGACACTACTGCTCTAAATAATTGAGCTACCGTGTCACAGTAGCACGGACACGGTAGCTCAATTAGTTGAAGTAGAATCACGGATTGCTGTGGATGCTGACCCGTCTGGGTCGTTAAAAGTTTTTTCAATGTAATCATTTTTTAATTTATAATATAATCCTATCCTGTGCAATAACGGATCAAAATAATATAATTCCTACAGCATTTTGTATATGTATATTTTCTAAAGGGGGTGAAGGGGTTCTAAATTCTTATTGTTTTTCTTCTTTTTTGCTTTGGCTTATGTATGGGACCCGGCTTTAAAATTATATAATTTAACTAAATTAATGCGTATTACTTTCAGCAAAAACAAGTGTGAAAGCCCCCTCGTGTGGCATAGGGCGAACACATTTTTGTGTCCGTTTCACTGATCCGTTCTTTTAAAGGGCAAGTAGTTGATCAGATTTCTGAACCCTGCCCGACCGAAACTTTTATGTTTTCCTGGGATTCGAACCCAGGACCTCTCGCGCTTAACACCATGCTAGGCAATACGTGTAACCATTTGGCTACAGAGGCGGTCTTTTAGTAAGGTAACTTTATATATCATGGTCAGTAAAATTTTGAAAACTGTACGTACGTATAAGTTTTTGTTTATAATAAAAATATCTACAACTTACCGGCTGTGAATTTCCATAGAATATTCATAACGGACATCGCGAGAATCAACTTAGGATTGATGGCCGTCGATTTATTCTTATCAATATACTGAAGGACATTTGCCAATTCGTTCTGAATCTCCGATTCCATCGCTGTTTTGCCGAACCCGACATTTTTCAAGTGTTTCACCGTGAATTGGCGATGCTCTCTCCAAATTGGCCCGTCCACAAACGTTATACCTAGAATTGAATAAACACTCTTATTACCATGTTTTAAGATTTAAAATAGTTCCTCTTCAATTGAAATGCTTATAAAAATGTATAATTTGAGTATATTGAGAAGTAAAGGCAAATTAATTTCACAGTCTCGACACAATTGTAGTGTTTAATCACACTTTTAGTCATACATTTAAATAAATCACTTTTAACGGTTTAAAATGCTAATTATATTAGTTAACTCATTTTTAATTTATTTGAAATATATACAGCAGCCATGGTCACTTAATATAACAAATTAAAATGTATTATTCCTTAATGGTACCTCAATATTAGTCATTACGGCTTTTGCTTAAACTTATTTTATAGCATGTGTGAGATACTGGGATCGGTTCGCAACGATAGTCAATTGTTTCGTTCGGGCAAGACTGTGCCCTGCCCGAACGAAACAATTTAACTATCCCTTGTGTACTTTTTCGATGTGCTGCCATCCCACTTCGGCCTTTCTTGTCGTTAGTAAAAAGTCGTTGGTGGAATCAAACCTCATTTCCCCATTTGGGGCTTGGAGCATATTTATGTGTCCGTTTCATTGATTTGAATGAATAGTTGTTCGGACTTCTGTGCCTGATCGAAACAATTGATAATTTTATCAATATTTGGGCCTACGACCTGTCGTGCTTAATGCTAGACAATGTATGTGACCAAGCTTGGACATTGTGGCTTAATAGTTGGAGCGGCAGCACGGAACACTGTGGATGCTGATTAAAGTCACGCCCGTGTCGTATTTTTTTTTTAAAATAGACTTTTAATTTTGGGAGAAACTAGTGTATTATTCAGTTACAGATGTATAATTTTTACTCACCCAGTCGTCTCCCTAGACATCGTAATCTTATGAAAAAACTATTCGGCCGCCCCTCGAATTCCTTCTCCGTGAATATCTGCCTTACGTTCTTCTCGCCGAATACCACAACCACTAATTCCGACCCAAGCTTCAGTCCCAACACTTGTGTGGAATACTTTTTGGCTAGCTGGGAAAAGGCTTTCCACTGGGAGCCGTTTTGTATCGTCGCCTTTTGTACTACAGCGCTGGATCCAAAGAATGGGTACCATATGGGACCTGAAAAGGAGTACACGAAATAGTACAGATGCAGAAATGCGTTCCCTGCGAGTGGACGAAGTCTCAGGTTAGTTTGAAGCAATTGGAAGGGTGAAAAGTAGCAAATGTCACATAATTGAACTAATACCAGAAGTCTTATACGTGTAAATATGTCCGTTCCATGTCCCTGAACGAAGAACTTTTGTGCTAATCACAAACTAGACAACGCGCAACTAAGCAACGAAGAAGGTTGGTTCCTCGTTGCTATATTAGTGTCACGGTATGCAGCTAGCTAATCTTAATCTTATCTTGGAGTAATTAGGAAACAACGAAGTGACGAAGCATAATGCTTCTCAGAATCGTAATTAAGATTTAGCATCTCATCTAACGTTTACTATCAAAGGAAGGACAGTCTAGTCTAGAGCCAAAATAGGCCATAGACGCGCGTCTTCTTTTAGCAATGTATAGATAATCAACGGGATTAGGGTTCGATCCCCACCGAGTGTTCGTGTTTGTTTTTGTTGAATGTTGGATTGCTTCTGAAAAATTTTTATTATTTATTGATTACCGAAAATTCAGTATAGTTTAATCGCATTTCTGCAACAGTCTGGATATGCTAAGCCAATATAATCGACAGCACACGTTGTTTATGTGGTTGGGTTTAAAAAATTTAAAAATCGAAAATAAATTGAAAAAATTTTCGACTCGGGCAGGACTTGAACCGGCTTTCGTCAGCTTTCCGTGCTGTTGCTCTACCAATTGAGTACCGAGTCAATTGGTAGAGCAACAGTAGTAATTTTTTCAATTTATTTTCGATTTTTAAATTATATAGTGCCTTCATGTGCAATAACATGTGAAAAATATTAATGTTTTCATATGTGGTTGGGTTATTTATTGCATCTTCCACCAAGTGAACTTCATGCTTGTCTTTCTTCTTTCATAATAAATGCTACACAGTGATTTAATAAAAGAAAAATTGGCGAAATAAATGTTATTAATGCCGAAGATATTTCAATCTACTCCTGAGTCCATTTAATAAAAATGTACTGATAAATCAAAGCATTGTCTATATATTAGTACGTGAAGCAATTTCTACGAACACTAAACCAGCGTCAATATCTATACTAATAAATAATAAAGCTGAAGAGTTTGTTTGTTTGAACGCGCTAATCTCAGGAACTACTGGTTATAATTCAAAAATTTAAAAAAAAATTGTGTTAGTTACTAATAGGAGCGAAGAAACAGCGAGAAATGTCGAAAAAGGGAGAAAATTATTCATTCTTATAGAATAGAATAGAAAAGAAGACGTTTATTCGGAAACAACACAAGACATTAAACAAACGCAATATAAAAAATGTGTTGTGGGTTTCCATTACGTGGGCTGTGATAACGGTTTAAGATACCCAAAAAATATGTATGACAGAATTATTCCTCTTTAAATTATTTTAAGAAAAGTTCTGGGCTATATGTTTATCTAAGGTTCTGCAAGAACGACGGGTACGGACGCGACCGACGTCGTGACATGTAACGACGTAACAGCTCAAATTTATAGAGTTGAACTGGGGGTTTGCAAAAACAAAAAAATATATCCCAAACAATTATTCTACGCGTACGAAGTCGCGTTACTTAGCTAGTTAAGAATAACCGGCCAATACTTGTAAGTCGAGCTTGAGTATCACATATTCCGTACGAATCTACACTAATATTATAAAGCTGATGAGTTTGTTCATTTGTCTGGGTGAACGAGCTGATCCTTGGAACTACTTGTTCGAATAGAAAAATCTTTTTATGTTGGTAAGACCATTTATCGAGAAATGCTTTAAGCTAAGTAACAACATCACACTGCGACTAATGGGAGCAAAGTAACGGTCAAAATTATTCAAATTTGATGGCTTCCTTTAAGCGCGCTGCGAAAACGGGTCCAAAATTAAAATGTATAAAAGAATGATTGAAAATGTTTGCAATAGTATATGTCGTTGTGTTATAGTTGACGGGACGCGGACGACGTAACTGAATAACTATAGAACGTGCTCCCCGTTTTCTTCACATTTTCCGTCATCACTCCTAGTCCCATTGCGATGTTTTATAGCATATAGCCTTCCTCGATATGCTATAACCAACACAAAAATAATTTTTCAATTGGTACCAGAAGTTCCTGAGATTAGCGCATTCAAACAAACAGAAATCTCTTCAGCTTTATATAATTATAGAAGCTATTAAATAGAGATTTTTCGTTTTGGATTACGGAACCATACAAATGGTGCCAGAAGGTAAAAAATACAGCAAAAACGACTACTTCATTAAGTGCAAATAATTGTATAATGTTTTTTTTTCAGTACTCATAAATATACCAAGAATCAATTAAATGATTGCTCAATTTCAAAGTAAAAGGAGGATAAAATCAACACATCCCTGTAGCTATAATAATGCGATAAATTATAAAAGACTAATTAACCTGAGATCAAATAGTAGTAAAAAATTAATGTTTTTATTCACGCGAATCGTCGCTTAAGACAAACGTTGAAATTAATTAAATAAATTGTTGGATAAGTGCAGTGTTTTAATTGAACTATATTTGTAGTCATTATCATGATTTATAGTACGATACTATAAAATCTAACATATAAATTGTGCCTATAAATTGTATGAAGCCAAAATCGTGTTTTTTTTTGTTTTAATGTAGCTGTTAGTATACTGATGACATTTCAAAGCAGTAATATGAAATAATGAATATATGAAATATGAAAAAATAATGAAACCGATGTAAGTCCAATTTCTGGACCGGGACATGTTATTTGGGGACTTGAATTGAGATACATCACAAGAACGTTAAAGACTTTAAATGCATAAAATATGATAATATTCATAATACATATTTAATATAAGTGTTTAAGGTACATCAAATGCCATTTTTGTGTATTATTTTCGCTCAATATTAATAAATATAAAATAGGCACTTGAACCTAAAAGAGAATTCGTTTTAACGTATTAATATGTCTTTAGAACCTTCTTATGCTTCCCTAGGTGTTACGTTTGTTAGTTTTAAATTTGTAGTTTAAATGTTTATTTTATTGCATAATTTTATTTTTCCTGGTGACATTAACTTCTTTGCTGAAATGTTGGTTTTTCTTTTTACACGCAAAAGTTTCCCGGAAGAAATCGCCAAAAGCGATAAGGCCGCCATTTCACAAACATGTTTATTTGTATATATTATTTTAAGTGTACATGATCTACTACATAAATATGTTTGTCCAATAAAGAGTTTCATTAATATCTATATTAATATTACAAAGTTTTAATAATATTAAAGCATTTCATTTGTATTTTTGTATGTAACGGATAAACTCGAAAGCACTCGACCGATTTTAATAAAATCTTTTTTCATTAGAAAGCTACATTATGACTGAGTAACATAGGCTATATTAGTACTTGATTACAATAGCAATTATAAAATTTTTAAAACCAACGGAAGGCGTATAAAAATTAGCCGTAATTATTAATAATAATATACCATAACTGGCCAGTCTCCTCTGTCTTATAAGAAATACTGGAGAGGTTTGACCCACAGTAGTGGTTACCAAATTAGTGGTGATAACTGTTGTAATTAATTATTTTGATTTAATTATTGACATCATTCCAAATAGATGCACTGCGGACATTATCTTATATTTTTTCAGTTTCTGAAAGAATTTTTTTATAAATTTTTATGACTAGTTCAATTACGTTAAAATTTTTTACGCCGTCGTGACATTTGTATAGCAATAACTTGTATTTTTGTCACGATTTTGATTCACGATAACCAAAACGATGTGAAAAGTTCACGAACGCAATGATTTGGTAACGTTATTGATAAATAAAACGGTTTGAAACTCAACCTGTATTACAGTATAACTGTTAGCTAAGCAATTAGGCAGATATTGGTTAAAACAAAATTAAAAAAAAACATATAAATAAGTTTTAAAGGAATTTTGCGCTTTGACTCTGTGGCTCATTCCTGAACGGAAGTGATGAAAAAACTTTTGGTTTACTGATGCAATTAAAATTACAATGGCTAATAATAATAATCTCATACATCAAAAAACATTAAACGATATCCACCAAAGTTGTTACAACAAAACTCGCATGAAGTATCATTATTATAGACTGTAAGTTTGTGAGAAATATTCACGATCACATTATATTACGTCTAATGAAATTGTATTTTTGTTTGTTCTGATTTCCCTGACCTGGACGGCATTTTTCAAAAGTTTCCGTAAGAGTTCTTACGAACTTGTATTTAACTTGCTATCTTTTTCTCGTTTTAAACTTCGAGTACTTAACTTTAAAAGACATTTTTAAAGTCTTTCAAATTTATATTATCTGCCTTAATGGTTTCCCTCAAGTTATTGCAAATTAATTTAAAAGCCTATTTTCGTATATATTATTTTGCTAAATACACATTTAAATAAAACACTTTATTTAACGGTTTAAAACGCGGCCACGACCATGACCACGGCTGCTGAAAAGCATCCGAAACGTCTGGCCGAAGTTAAAAATAATTTTAACTTATAAATCGCATTTTAAACCGTCAAAGTGTTTTATTTAAATATATTTTACATAAAATAGGTTTCCCTCAGAACCTTTGACTTACTTTACGTCCTTATTAGATTATATTTATTAACAGTGTCAAGTAAAGTCATTTCATAGCTAAGGCTTGAGGAAAGGACAAACACACTAACACATATCCACAGTTATTTTAAAACCAAAGAAACACGAAGTTTTATACATTCTTCTAAAATAAATTTAATAATCAAACTTGTTATGTATGAAATTCCATTTTAGGGGTACATTCTTATTAAAATATGTCCGCTAGTTGAAAAATAAAATTACATTAATTTCATCTGATTAATTCCTTCGCAGATTAAAAAGCTAAATCAGAACACATACTACAATAAATATAATAGTATAATCAATAACCGCGACGACATATTTTAATTCAACATTTAAACGTTCAACCTTGAAAGAGCTTTTAAAAATGTAATCTCACTATCGGAACAAGATAACAAGAGGAAGTTGTACATAACTCGTCGTTTCGTTCGCATTTGGTTAGAGCCATCCTATTTTTAACGCAACATGTGACGAATTAGGTTAGCTATTATAAGCGCTGTCGTCAAGCTATTTACCTGGTGGAAAATTTTTCGGCTTGCTCGTCGTGTTGATGATATAGCCGAGTATAGTTAGCACAAACACAACGACAATCGTCGCGATCATCTTGAGAATTGTTCCCGCACACCGTTGGCACGACGATGCGCTTGCGACTGTTCTTGGTATATACAAAACACATTCTTTTATGGTATCGATTACGCAATTGACAACAATCACATGTCATCTATACTTTAATGGCGCGCTGACAAGCTTTCCTTCAATTGTTCTCAATTGCTACTTTGGGCGCGAACGAGTCTGTGGCAGTTTCTGACGCATAGGGCGCGCGCACGCATGAAATAAAATCTATTAATTGGTTGTAATGGAGCTATACTATCTTACTAGATACAATTTCATTACTATCCAACTTTTTTTTTTAAATAATTTTTGCAACGATTGAACATTTTTCATTTTTTTGTATTTATTAAATGAACCCCAGGAAGGATCGTGTGTATTGGTTAGTCTGGGCACAAAATATGCATATAAAAAAGATGAGTGAATCATTTTTTTTTTATTTAACGTCTTAAAATACAATGTAATGACATAGACATGTTAGGGGCTTAGATCATAGCATACAATTTGTTACTAGTCGCAATTAAGTATAAAAATACTGCATATAATTCAGTCAGTAAATACAAGAAAAAACATTTACATAATACAAATGAGGAGCTTACAACAATGTAAAGTACACAGAAAAAAAATATTACATTGCACAAACGACCAGTTTACAACAATATTAAATGCAGAAAAAACATTTAATTCATTAGGCAAGTGTAAAGCTTCCAACAATGTTATATAGAGAACAAATATTAGATAGTACACACAAAAAGCTTAGAACAGACACACAATTCTCGAAACTTCATAATGGTCCGTTTTAAAAAGTACCATAGACGTAGTGTTGTGGCGATTCATGTAGATCCAAACCGAAGCTTCGGCTTCCGCCTGGGTTTCTGGGCGACGGACAAAATCCTAAAAACAGCGTAACATGAAAAACTTTGAATCGTTGTTCAAAATTGAAATTATTTTTATTAATAGTAAAAGAATGATGAAATTGACATCTCTGCAAATTGTAGGCAAAACGTGGAAAACTATTTCTCAATCACGACAACGAAACAGCTTGAAAATCTCTGGTTTTTTTTTCAAAAAAATTGCGTTAGAGTGAAACGCATCTCAAATGAGCTGAACAAACGAATGACACCTTCAAGTCAAGTTTATTATATTCATATTGTTAGTTTATTCTCTTTTTTTCGACCAAATGCTGAGGCGGCTAAATCCGAATATGATTCGGCTCCGGACAAAATTGATCTTCAGTCCAATACTAGTTTAAGGGATTAGGGGCTAGACAAAAACAATTAGCTAATGACTAACTCGATATCCGTAGCTGCATTGATTCGTCAATAGCACGGAATTTCTTTTGCATTCTAAAATAAATTTTGTAGAGGAATTGCAAAATTTCATAAATCATTAACGTAAAACGTTTTCATCGTCATATCTGCGAAAACCATCATCAAATCGAATTTATCATCATATTATATTTATCTGCGTTATAGATATTCGACTACGAAAATATATATGCAATTTTTCATACAATTTTTTCGAAATCATAATTGAAACCGCTTTTTTCTGTGACATTATCCTGGGGTTCACGAATTATGGTGGAAGGTAAAGTACCTCTGCCCTAAATCATCCTACGATGATACTCTGTCGATCTATTTTGGATTTGGAGATTCAGAAATCCACAGACTGAAGCCGTAATGCTATTACGTTACGAAATATTTAAAATTTGAGTTTTTGAAGTACAAACAGATATGATGTATTGTACTAGCTGTACCAGGGACTCTGTCCGCGTAGAGTATTTATTAATCTTAAAAGATAGATTTATAATGTTCTGGACATTTTTCAGATTATTTAAAGAGAAATCATTCTTTTATACATATTTTTCGGATATTTCGAACCATTTTCGCACCGCCCGCGGAGAAAAGCCTCGGAGATGAATAATTTTCCCCCATTTGTTCCACATCTCCCACTGTTTCTTCTCTCGTATTAGTCGCAGCTTCACGATCAATAAATGCTCTAACACAAAAAATATATTTTTTTTATTTGAATCAGTAGTTCTTGAGAGTGAGACGTTTCAACGTGCAAAAAAATTCTCAGCTTTATAATGTTAGTAAAGATATTTAATTTCCAAGAATTAGTAAAGTACGAAATATTATAAATGAGCTAATCTATCTATACTCATATACAAAACTGTTTGTTTGTTTATTTGAATCGCGCTAATCTCAGGAAGTGAGGGTTCGAATTGAAAAAATATGTTCTTGTTAGTTAGAATATAGATAGAGGAAGGCTATAGGCTATAAAACATCGCCCTGTAACTAATACAAGCGAAGATACAGCGAGACATGTGAACAAATTTGGGAAAAAATATTCATCATTATGGCTTTCCGAGGCGTACGCTTCAAAAACGGTTCAGGATAACCAAAAAATAAATATGTATTTCTCTTTAAATGATCTAAAAAAAGTGACGCTATATATCTATCTTTTAAGATTAACTTGTAAGAACAACGGAAAGGGACGCGACCGACGTAACAGCTTAAGTTATAAATATGGTTCTCACGGACGAAGTCCTTGACTCAGCTAGTATATTTTATACGTATATTAAAAACTATAAAAAAATAATAATGATCATTATATATTTGATGACGCATTTGTCATTATAATCTTCTAACGCATTAAAAATGAAAATCTTTTCGAATGAACTCAAGTGAAAAACATTAATGTTCCGTATTTTTTTCATGTTTTCGATACTTATTATTTTTACGTACAATGCACAAAAAATGTCATGGCTCAGTGAATTTCGAAGGAATTGCTTATTGTTATTTTATCACTAATTGCATTATTGTGAAAATGTGTTCATAATTGCAAACAAAGTTTATTCTTTATTTAATTATTTTTAAAGTTAAGTAATAATTTTTTACATTAAAAAACAGATTTGGAACATTAAAAAATCTTAATAATTATGAGGGTCAATATTAATTTTCGTAGTAAAATATGTGGAAGAAATCTAATAGATAGAATTAGATATTGAGAGAATATTGCAACATTATTCTATCTATTGATTGATTGTAATGAGATATTTGTTTGAATAACCATTAAAACTCCTTGGTTGATCTCGAACTTTACTTTTGTACTAGCTCTGTCTGCGAATTCGTTCGCGTAGGATAGTTATTTTGGGCATCCAAATTTGCTTTTGCAAACCTCCTCCTCGACGACGTAGATCGCGTCCTGTCGTTCTTGCAAGTTTCTCTTAAAAGACAGACATATAGTGTCGCGGTCATTTTTTTAGATCATTACGCGATAGCACACAACAGTAATCCTTAAAAATGAATAATTTATCTTGTTTCTTTCACACTATCTTCGCTCCTATTTGTCGCATCGTTATGTTTTATAGCTATAGCTATACCTGATAAACGCTCTAACAAACACAAAAATATTTTGTCAATTCCTGAGATTAGCGCGTTCAAACAAACTCTTCAGCTTTAGGTATATATAAGTATAGATTATTTGGTGCTAGATAGCGTTTTTATCGACGCTGTAAACTGTATAATCCTGTGAAAAATATTACACTCATCCTTTTAGAGTTCAAGGTTCACTTAGGAAGCCGTTTTTATCTTCCCACGTACCTATATGTTACTAAGTCCCAAATTAAAACTATTTCCTATTCAAAATAAATACAACACGGCAAAGAACGTGACCCGCATCGGCGCATACCTTCGACTTGTAGACAATATTAGCGTGGTTTTATATGAAGCTCCTTTAAATATTTATATTATTAAAGAACAATATAACGGAGAATTTTGTGTAACTTTACAGTGACTTTTTTGTCGGGTCACCGAACATTTCTCGCCAGAAAAATTTGACATTTTTTTTTATTTTAATGACTTCACTTGTGAACCACACTTGGGAACTGACCCTATGAGAATTTAAATTGTCAGTAAAAGCTATAATTATAAGATACTATTTAAGTAATTTGTCAGCTTGTTAGGGATATTTTTTAAGATCATCTAACAAGAGGAAAAGATCGTTCTCTCATACATATATTTTGGTTTTTTAAACAGCGTACGCAACGGTATCTCTCAAATATAAATAACTACCCCGTTTTCCGCTATTTCTGCGCTCCTAATGCCCGCTTGGAGTTTTACAGCCTAGAACATTTCTCGATAAATATTTTTTCAATTCGAACCATTAGTTTCGCGTTAAAACAAATAAACAAACTTTTTTAGCTTTATTATATTTGTAAAAACTAACTTTGCCAGCTTCGTCCGCGTAGAATAATTCTTTTCGGCAGCAAGATGTGTTTTTGCAAACCTCGTTTTCCTCTTTATAAATTATTATAATATTAGTATAGATAGCTTTTACCCACTATGTCAATCGCGTCAAATCGTTCTTGCATGATAATCTTAAAAAAAAGACATATAGTGACGCCGACATTTTTTTTAATAATTTAAAGAGGAATCATAGTTTTGTACATTATTGTTTTTACAGCGCACGCCATATATATTTTTCCCGATTCTTTCACATTCCCCACTCTTTCTTAATAGTTGAATTGTGTTGTTTTGTCGTGTGTATCATATGGCCTAAAGCCTTCCTCGATAAATGCTCTATCCGACAAAAAATATTTTTTTATTCAGCTCACTCATACACCGACGTACATTTACAGAAATTTCAATTGAAAATTTCGTATTTTGGATTATCAACAACGATGGAGATCGATAGATATCATTGACGCAACACAAACATAGCAATATTATATTTTTTTTTAAGATAGAGGAGGACAGACAAGAACACGGGTTCTTGATACTAAGTGAAATACCACATACATATAACATCTTAAAAAGGTGCGCTGTCTACCTATTTTGTCTTTGTATATTCGGAATTGGAAGAAACCTATACATTAAGTAGAAAAATTTTGGGCACGATGGGGATCAAACCCACGATCCGTTATTAGCCATACGTTGCTATCATTACACCAATAATCCCGCCCGAATTTTTATCATCTGTAATAAATAACGCGAACCAAGCAAAAACCTCGGCAATATTATTGTGCAAATTGGATTGCACAATACTTTGACGGACACCCACAGACGCTTCAACATCGTCTACACGCGATCAATTTTATTTACAACCCGGGATATTGCACAATAACATTGATGGTCTATGGCCCCTTAAGCGGCCTATTAAAAGTGGTTCGTTTACAACAGAAGAAAACTTTTTCTTCGGAAACAGTTGCATAGAGTTTAATCCTTAAGAACTTTTGAGACAAAATAATATTTGTGCCGACTACCTGCTATCGAGTATAATATTGTTATATAGTTTATAATTTTAAGGTTAATTTAAATAAAGGACATTTAAACAAAATGCAGCAGCCATGGTCACTGGAGGCCCTGTGCAATGCAAACGAAACGTGGTTAAAAATATAACTTATAAATAAGTTATATTTTTAACCATTATTAAATATATTACGTGTGTTAAAACCTTTAAAGCTTTTATTCAAATATTACTCGCGTTAACTACAGACAGAACTAATTTTTGATTAATTTAGATCGCGAGCTTCTGGCGTCGGTTGTCCGGTAAAGTTCGATCTTTAATTCTTTTAAAAAGACAATGGGTAGTTGACAATCACAAATATAAATTATCTGTTATCAGTATTAGTATAACTTTAGAAATAGTAAAATAGTTTTTAAATATTTGTCACGTCACACAAAACGCTCTTGATTGGTCGGGTTTATTATGACGTCACTTGCTTATAAACATTCTATAAACCACCATGCTTCCTAGTTTTAAAATTGTTCTATCTCTGCAACAATAAATAAATTTGATACTAATTTTATTACTTTAGTCACTGTTAAAATAAATGTCAATCTATTTGTACCAACAAAGATTGAAGATCATAAGATCAAACAAGAACACCAATGGTCAGTATAAGGTCCTGACGTCACTAGCCGTAATACCGTTATTTCGCATAATTCTAATTGAAAAATTTTCGAATAATAATAATATATTGGATTTTATATTCAGCAAATATGTGTCAGAATTCAAAAATGTATTTTTCTGGGTTCCTTAACATCTACGAAATAATAAGTACATTTTAAAATTTAATATTATCACATAACCATTGTTGTTAGCGGAAACAAAAAAAAAAATGAGAACAATAAAAAATACATTCCTATTTCAAAGAGTAAAAACAAAAAAAAAATAGATTAACTATGTGCTAGTAAAAATATCTTGTAGCACAGTCTCCCTCTCGCTTGGGAGAGGATTTCAAGATGTCAAACCCACCGTATTGTCATAATGTGGATTAGTGGATATTTCAAACCTACAAAAAAAATTTCGATAAACGATAAACCTTTTTATTTACTTTATATTATGAATACAAACTTACACCACTATTTATAAAGTTGCTTGTGTCTTCACTATATTTGTGTTTTGAAATAATTAATTATTAATCTTAATGAACAGTAATATGCAATAATCTGCCATTATCATTTTATTTTTTATATTTTTCCTTATAATTAGCATAATCACGGCATGTAGTAATTATAATAATAAGAACACAGGCCTTAGCGCAAACGTAAAAGCTCGAATGGAAATACAATGTAACGAACAAATGCTTGACTCTTCGCTTCGAAATTCAAAAGCTCCGAGGCATTTTAGTTTCAATAACAACCCTTCAACGGCCGAACGAAACATCACAACAAATCCTGAAGCGTAGCGAAAAAATGCACCGGGAGCATAAACAATGTTGGCATTGAACTTCCAGCGTCGGGCATCACTAGTGCCCTTGTACTATGAGAGCTTTGTAAACATGAATCTCGATTTCCGAGAATTTTGATTTCCACTTTTCTCGCTTCCTGGAAACTGCGCGAACCCAACTCGATGTAACACGGAAAATGTGAAGTTCATTTTGCTCGGATCAAGTTCACACGTTTGTTGGACTATTGATGTTTCAATCCATTTAACGTTTCAACCGAGTCGAGGTGTTGTTTATAATCAATTATCTAATTGGAATGTTGGTATCAGTTTGTGATGTGGATTTATTTTCAGGGGTGTTTTATACTGTTTTCAGTTTTATTTACAGAGACGAACTGCAAAGTATCATTTAATTGGCGCTTTGAAAAAGGCGAATAAGGAATTTGGCGCTGGGAATAAGATTAAGTATTATATATACAATTTATTTATTAATATTACAATGAATGTAATTGGCTTAGGCCGTTTTAGTTATAGTAAATAAATATAATATATCCTAATATTATAAAACTGAAGTGTTTGTTTGTAACGCGTTAATCTCAGGAACTACTGGTTCGCATTAAAAAAATTGTTGGTTAAAGCATTTATCGAGAAAGGCATTAGAATATATAACATCACGAAATGGGGAAAATGATTTTGTCTGCTCACTTAATCCTTAAAAATACGCAACGTATTCTGAAGCTGTTTTTAATAGCATGATCGAGGAAGGTTTATATATGACGCTGCTAGAGCCAGAGTAGCCTAATAACAAAAAACATGATTTTGAATACAAAAGCATGGAAAAATGCGCAATCAACTTAGGCGAAAATGAATTATATGTAAGAATTATGTCAATAATTTTTAATCACTGTGTTCTTGTACATTTTAAGACTGTAAAAATATAAATAATATGCATAAAATTGCAGTTAGGCTCTGCCTCTAGCGGCCTTATACATAATACAAGCATAATAGTTTAGGGTAACGCCGATAAAGTAAGAGGTTTCTAACGCGATGTCATAAATTAACACATTTATTTCCACTTACATTGCAAACGCTAGCTGAACCCCACGAAATAAATCAAATTAAAGTACACATTAAAAAGGTCATCAGTCTCTTAAGGAAATGCCACATTTCTATGCATGAAACTTTTATTAAAAAAAAGGCTTTATACGAAGAGATTTGAGAATTGCAAATGCAAAGAAAGCACTGTTGGAAATGGTACCGGCCCAGCCGGCGGCACGTGCCTTTAACTAACATTGTTTTTAAGGACACTCACGATTTGAACCCTTTGAAGCTTCGGATCAACAGGAGCTTTTAATGATATATATTATTATTCAACATTTCAAAGAGAGATTGGTGAGTTCACCTGGTGACGCGGTTGATATTTCATATGCACCATGGATTTTTTCAGTATTTCTTCAAAATATTTTAAGAAAATTCTACCTCTATATTATCTTCAAAATATCAACAGAGAAGGTAGGAATAGGAAGGAGTAATTATACAAAAAGTAGCATGTATGATTAAAAGACGATTAAAAAAATAATTAATCTATACATCCTGCATAGGAAGCTTAAAGGCCAGCCCACACATTCTCTGTTAATCAGTTTCACAGAAAAAGCTTATCATCTGTTGAATGCATAAAACGTTGTTCTGTTAAAGTTTATTTAAATTTAATTTTATAATCATGACTGATAATTAATGTTCTTTAGCTATTTCAAATCGAATAAGTAAATTAATTCTAAAACTTTAACTTGTCACCTCTATGTGCTCCGAATAAAATCTTTTTACGTTTCATAAAAATATAGTAGCTACATTTAACGCCATCATAATATATTCGTTTTTTATTTGAATAATACATTTTTTTTTATATACATTTCGTCGACTTGAATCTTACAATGATCTCTGTGGTATACCGTAGTCTGTAAAAAACCTTCTCAAATGTCAACGTCTTGCGGATCTCATTTGACATTGACAGTAGTCGAATGTAAAAATCCAAGTGTAGCCACAGAACTTAAAAAATTTTAATTAAAAATAATATAGTCTGGATTATGCCCATAATGTGACTTCAAAGTACAAAATGTCTATTGTCTAAGGTTCATTGCCTTTTTTTATTAAGAATTTAAATGTTATGTGATGTTGTGTTGATAAGAAACGTTTGTGGATCTACTCAATAACTTTATAAGAAAAAAAAAATCGCAAACGCGTATAAATTTTCGCAGTTCAAACTTCAGTACAGTTTAGATAAGGCGTTTATGGTCTGCTCTGATAACAGTGAACAGAATTAAGCACTAATAGAGACTCATATAATGTCCGGGGAAGGAAAATTTGGCCCGCTGGTCGGAGCGATAGACGAAGGTACGTCTAGCGCGCGTTTCATGATATTTAAAGCGAATTCTTGCGAAGTCGTTGCCACGTATCAAAAGGAAATAGAACAGCATTTTCCACAAGAAGGATGGGTTGAGCAGGATGCCTGCGCCATACTGGATGTGGTGATAACATGTATAAACAAAGCAGTGGAGCAGCTTGTCTCTCTAGGTGGTAGTCCCAGGGTAAGTACTTTAGAATTAAGATGAATTAAGAAAACGAAACTTAGCCTTATTGAAGTGCAGTACCGAGAACTGATAGATGATACATTTTTCCTTTTTTGAGCTATCATTAAGTGAATCACATGTGTACCCCTTCTGTTTCAGGATATAGTTGCAATTGGTGTTACAAATCAGAGAGAAACCACAATAGTGTGGGATAAATTTACCGGCAAACCTCTCCACAATGCAATAGTGTGGCTGGATATGAGAACTTCTTCGACTATAGACAAGTTACTGGATTTGGTTCCTAACAAGACAAGAAATAAGAATTACTTAAAGGTATTAATGTACCATATGAAATTGAGATTACATTCAAGGTACTCATAAGAATCGAGGACTTCATTGATATTTATATAATTCTATTCTAATTTACGTTTTTCGATCTTAAAAGTACCGACAAGTGTAAATCAGAGATAAATGACATGCTAACCAGATGCATCATGCAGAGACATCAATAATAAATGCAATAAATTAATTTCAACAAAAAGTCAAGTGTCTGTAAAAAATGTCTAGCAACAATAACCAGCTATTAGTTCAGTTATAATAACAGTGAAGTCCTTTTCCCTACCTCACTGAAAGAGTTCATTTTTCTGGGATTCCTGAAGTTTCACAATGCTCAACATATTGCCAATTTGGCTAAGAGTAATAATTACCTAAATAATGTCTATCTCTTTATTTAATACTAGCTATTACTAACAATGTTGTCTGCGTCCCGTCCTTCTTGCAAGTTAATCTTAAAAGATAGACATATACTGCCTAGATATTTTATATATAATGCAACCTATAATTATTCATTTAAAGAAAAATCATTACTTCTTACATATTTTTCGATTTTTTGAACCGTTTTCCTCTAAGTTGAATATTTTTTCCCTGTTTCATTGCTTCTATAGTGTAAAGTGTGAGATTATATAACCTAAAGCCTTCTTCAATATATACTCCATCCGACACCAAAACGGATTTTCAATTCAAACCAGTAATTCCTCATAAAACTCTTCAGCTTCATAATTTTTTACTATAGATTTTATTCGCTCTTCTAAAGATAAAAAACATAATAATACGACATAATATTTATGAAATTCCAGCCTTTATGCGGTTTGCCGATGTCGCCCTACTTTAGTGCAGTAAAACTTAGATGGTTGGTAGACAATGTTGATGCCGTCAAACAAGCTATGAAGAACGGCTCCTGTTGCTTTGGTACTGTGGACACATGGCTTATATGGAATTTGACAGGTCAGCACACTTACTTTATCCACTGTGCGGAGACTATTTGTTTAGACAATGAATACATTTAAAAATAAGATTCTCCATGTTTTAGACCGCTATAAATGTTTTACTTATTGTGTACTACTTGTGTAAACTGTAGACAGACCTTAAAGCGAACCTTGAGATATACAGATCATTAGCTGTGATAAGCAATTATAATGTCGTTAAGATTATGTTTATTTACAGGGAATTATTTCAGTGATTAGATTAGATTTACGCCGTCAGTACACATAATATAAACGGGCTTAAATCCTATTTTAAAAAACATGCATTCAATGCTTAGTAATAAAAGTAAAACATTTTTCTTGAACATGAAACACAATGTGTGGATAGTTGTTAACAAATGCTATGTTAAAAACAACTGTTTTAGACCGAACTGATAGAAAGTACATATATAAAAAAAACTACTGCTGCCGGTACCTGCCCAAGTCGAAAAGTTTTCAATTTCTTTTCGATTTTTATTCAAAAACTATACATACTTAGACAATGTCATGTGTGTGTTTTTGAACTATATAATATATATTTTTTAACTTTATGGAAAAACACTAGAACTATTGTTTAGTTTAGTATTAATTATTATAGTGCTTTGTTCATTATACTTCATTATAAAATGAGAAAAAAAATAATGCAATAAGTAATTATACTTCTTAGTGCATATACATAGCTTATACTACTACTTAGAGATACTGTGAATTTAATAAAATAATCTGCTAACTAACTAACTTCACCAATAGAAGCGAAGAGACAGAGAAAAAATATGTAAATACTGTCTATAGTTTACGCGAGTAGTACACATTTAAATAAAACACTTTAACGGTTTAAAACGCGATACATTAGTTAAACTTATTTGGAAATGATTTTTAACTTCGGCCCGACGTTTCGGATGCTTTGCAGCAGCCGTGGTCACGGGGAGTCCCCGTGACTAATATATCGCGTTTTAAACCGTTAAAGTGTTTTATTTAAAAATATGTATGCAAGAATTGTTCTTTAAATTATCTAAAAATAATCCGCGACGGTAGTATGAATAGCTTTTAATAACTTGCAATAACGACGGGACGCGACCGCTCTTTTGGATAACCTATAATTTATATAGAGATGAGAAGGTTGGCAAAAACAAACTTTGATATCTGAAATAGCTAATAGGGCGAAGTTGCTGGCGCAGCTAGTTACTTACGTATATATAAAATTGTATAGATAAATAAAACACGTTGCGGATGCCTTGCAGCAGCCGTGGTCAGTCTAGTCTCCTCGTGACCACGGCTGCTGCAAAGCATCCGAAACGTCGGGCCGAAGTTAAAAATCATTTTCAAATAAGGTTAACTAATATATCGCGTTTTAAACCGTTAAAGTGTTTTATTTAAATGTGTACTACTCGCGTAAACTATAGACAGTATTTGTATAGATAACATAACTTTTCTCTACTTTTTAAAAACTGTTACAATAAGTGGTTTGGAATGTCATAATCAGGTGGTGTCAACGGCGGCAAACACGTAACGGATGTCACAAATGCATCTCGGACTATGCTAATGAACATTGAAACGCTGAACTGGGATCCACTTCTATTGAAATTCTTTGAAATTCCCAAATCGGTGTTGCCACAGATAAAATCCAGTTCAGAGGTAATCCAATACATATTGCGCGAGAGGTGCATGTATCGACAGGTTTAAAAAATTCTACGTCGACGTGAAGGACACGGTAGCTCAATTAGTTACGGAACGCTGTTGATGCCGGTTCAAGGCCTGCCCGTGTCGTAAATTTTTTTTAATCTTAAATTGATCTTACCTGGTTCTCTTATTTTAATATCATTCCAAAAGCATGAGTACTTATGTAGATAACAAATAACAATAATAAGTCTTAGCTCAATTAATAATGTCAAATTGTTATTCAAATTATAGATATATGGCTACATAGCTGACGGTCCCTTGAGAAGCATTCCGATATCTGGTTGCCTAGGAGACCAACAAGCGGCCTTAGTGGGCCAGCTGTGTCTACAAAAAGGTCAAGCGAAGGCCACATATGGAACTGGATGTTTTGTCCTTTATAATACAGGCGAAGTTCGCGTCAACTCAAGTAAAGGTCTCCTCACTACAGTGGCTTACCAATTGGGAGCGAATAATCCCCCGTGCTATGCTCTAGAAGGTTCTGTAAGTATAAGACCACTAACCTAACTACTATATAATTATATCAATTCTCTTTACATTGTTTGGGGTCAACAATATAAATGCTTGTAAAAGTTAACTAACATTCATATAATTTTACTAATATAAAGGATTGCAACATCAAAAATATGCTTACCTAATACATGATATCTTCATAAGTAAAGCAGTGGTTGTCTGATATAAAAATATGGCAATTGTATATCCGTTAACTATGACTAACGAAAAGTGCACCATAGATACTAACACAGTGTTATAATTAGTGTATTGAAATGCGACCATTTTAGTTCATAATTCTGACACATGTGGCGCTCTCTTTTTTTCATTCAATCTTTGTACATAATTGATCTCATAATTTAATTAATTTACCACTTTCCCACACAATCCTTCAGTTAGATACAATCGTTTTCTTTTAATATTAATTTGTACTTTTATTGACTTGCAGGTTGCAGTGGCTGGCGCCGCGTTAGGCTGGCTAAAAGATAATGTCGGTATGTTGGAGAGCGCAAAACAATCCCAGGAACTAGCCGAGAAGGCAACTGAAAACGGCAGCGTCGTGTTTGTGCCGGCTTTCAGTGGGTTGTATGCGCCGTACTGGCGACAGGACGCTAGAGGGTAATTTCTTTCAAGTATTTATTTTTTTGCAAACAACCTCAGTTTTATAAATCAGGTATAGCTGTTACTAACGGCGTCGTCCTCGTCTCGTCGCGTCTTACTTCGTGGTAATCTTGCATATGCTGTCGCGGATACTTTATAAAAGTAGAATAATTTTCGCATACATTACATGGTTTTCGGTTTCTTGAATGATCTCACAGTGCGCGCGACGTAAGCCCTCGAAGATGAATAATTTTTCCCATTGCCATTTCGCGGCTTCGTTGGTCGAATGGTAGCATTGTACGATCATCAACGGCTTGCAGCTTGCGGCTTTGATTCCCACCACGTCTAACATATCTTTAAAATCAAATAACATATTTTCTGACTTCATTTGAATAATTTGGATATAAAATATATGTATTTCACTTTTAAATATAAATATTTAATTATTGATATATCCTAAAAGCCGTAACGTATTTTAAATAGTTAAAAATAAAATAGTAAAAGTTAAAACGTTAAAGTTTTCAGTGTTTGTAGTGAGAAATTCTGTTTTGCTTGTTGTAGTAATAGAGTTATTATATCCGTCATTTTCTTTAGATCAACGCCATCTAGCGTTTTCTGATGGCACTATCACTATATGTAGGGACGAACTTTTTACTGAGTTTGTCCAAATATCAGTCTCGCAGCATCATGTGAATTTAAAAAAGCATATTAATAGAAAAGTTATTCATTTCAGAGTTATATGCGGTATTACGGAAGATACGAACTCAAATCACATCGTCAAAGCTGCTTTGGAAGCTGTATGTTTTCAAGTGAGGGATATTCTAGATGCCATGAATGAGGACTGTGGTATTCCGCTGCAGCTTTTGAAGGTAAGACCAATTAAATCAGAATCTATATTTTACATCGCCCCTACCCCCTCTACTTTGCTGGACTATCAGGACGCTGATACAAAAGGTTTTCATATGTATTCTAAAACTACGGCTGCTAATGGACTTCTGTTTGGTTAAGTTGTCGCTTTTTTCTTAGTTGAATGCTGTTATCCAGTGTGGGACTATTGTTAATTACAACGTTAATCGTTTTCGTTAATAAGCAAGTTGGTAATGAGACTTTATTGGCCTACTTGACCGAAAAAAACCCTAATCCATATAGTGAATAAATAATATTTTTATTGTATCTTTGGAATTCGAACCTAGAATCTCTGCATCCTGCTCTCAATTGTAGGCAAAAGTTGAAACCAGTAGACTGGTAAGCAACTTCTGGCTTACTTTTTTTTCACAATTCACAGTTCGTGTCAGAACTTTTCTTTATGTGATAGTCTATAGTCTGTTTAAGTAAATAATATGCCCTCTATCCTAAACCTATGGAATTGTTCGTGAGTTTACATACTATAAATAAACTAACCTAACCTAAAAAGGAGAATACTAATTCAAATGTTTATTTATGCAACCAATTTGCTTACTCGCTGTAGGAGGGGTGTGACAATAAGGACCACATACAAGTGTTTACGTACGAATGAAAAGAGTAAATCACTCTTTCGGGGTGGGGGGAGGACTATACTATTACGGACCCTTACTTATAATTTCTTCTTTAATCTCCAGGTGGACGGCGGTATGACATCGAACGCTCTCGTCATGCAAATGCAAGCAGATCTCATCGGTATCAACATAATAAAGGCCGGTTTCGCAGAGAGTACCGCGCTCGGGGCAGCCCTAGTCGCGTATTGGGGTATCGACCGCACAACGCAAGTATCATCTATAGAAATCAACAATGGAGTGATATACGCCCCTAAGATATCCGATGATGAACGGGACATGAGGTACAAACAGTGGAAAATGGCGGTGGAACGATCACTCGGCTGGGAGGAGAACTAAGTATCCTTACTTATCTACGTAAGTTCGAAGTAGTACGAGGTCCGCTATATTTTATTTTTTAACTTAGCAAAAGACCACAACAAATATGGCCGATTGTAAACCACAGAGACAAAATTCACTTTTATGACGACCTTTTTTTTTATTACCATTATTATTTAACTCGATCTTTTCAGCGATCGTACATTAGCGGGAATACTACCTTTTTTGTTGACTCTACTTACGTCCCATTCCTATGTAAATGTCAACCTAAAGACATTTTACTGTGTGTGTCCGTTTTCATAAATTTATTTTAGGATTTTTATTAATTCAGCATGAAATTGTGGTTTTTACTTACTGAATTCGCGTAATTTCAGTTTATGAGAAAATCACGATTTCATGTAAATTGTTTGGCCCTCCAAAAATGCCAAGTTAGAAAAAATACACTGTACATATTACTTACCTAAAGCCGTTGCGAAAATCTGTGTAGCAATCCAAAATGGCCGTCAAACCCTTATACAGTTAATAAGTATTTGTACTATTGGCTGATACATTTTATTTTGTGTTATTGGTAAACATTGTTGTAACATTAAACTCTTTATAACATCTAAACCAAATAGTCACATTTTCTTGATTCAACTTTCATACGCTTTATAGTCAGTTTCAAGAAAGACAGAAAGATGGTTGAAATATGGTGTAATAAATTATATAATGTAACTTTTGGTACACTTAAACTTAATAAACATTTTAAAGCGTGAATATAATAAGTGATATAGTTAAGATTATTTTTTATTTATTTTAACTACATTCTGACAATTCGGATGCTTAAAAGATATAAAACAAAAACCTATTTTTAAATTAAGAGCGGCCTTATTAGCTTAAAATGGTAATGACTATAAATTAACTTTTGTATTTTAGTATTATCTTATTGGAAAGAGACAAAATATAATTTAAACGATCTGTGATACTATATTTTGTCTTTTCAATATAATGTGTCATATTTACAAAGATAACACTACTTTTGAATCAAAAATTAGATTGGTATAGTGTAACTAATTTTTACTCTATATCTTATTACTGTGGGAATTTTGCATATACATTCTTTAACAGAGTTAATAATTAAACTGCTTAAAGAGAGTAAACAATTTTTTTGCAATAAAAGCTCTTTTGTCTTACATATTTTATTCACATTAATAAAAATAGTGACAATTGTTGCATTTATATGTAATAACTCACGGAGTCTATACAAAATGTAATATTATAACTATCCAATGATTGAAAGGCCTACTTTGTTTCTCTCCCAAGTATAATTATAATAATTTCTTGATATTAATATGCGCTTTTTTTTCATGCTAAGGGTACTTTGTTTAATGATATGAGAGAAACACGTTGGTAATTGGCTAATTATAAGTAATAATAAAAAAATCATGATAAATTGCGTTGTTGACAGCGAACAAAGAATTGCCTTTACATTTTACTGTGACAGAATTACACAACGAAAATGTAATTTGTCATTTTGTTGGGATTTGTGTTTAAAAAATTATTGTTATGTATAACATATAAATATAATGTAAATTGTATATGTAGTGAATACTTCCGATTATGACAAATGTATTCGCTACCTCAGCAAAGAATAAAACTAATACACAACCAGCTAGTGTAAAATACCCCTTGCAGGTGTATATTAGGTATATATAAAATAGTATTTAGTTAATTATTTAATAGGGACTTATTTAGTAAATAAGCAGATGTGGCAATGACGTTTTTTTATAAAAATGTTTAAGAGAAATAGAGTACTGTGCCAATTTCGTAGATGGTTCTATTAAAACACACACAATTGTTAATCTAATTCTTGTTTTAAAAAAGGTTTTAAATAAAACCGTTAATATTTTCTTCGTTTTCTTAAATTTTATGTTTCCCAAAAACATTAATATTTTCGAAATGTAGTCTAAATTCACAGGTAGTCTAAAGTAAAATTAACGTTAAATGGTTACAGCGCCATCTATAGTTCATAACTCAAACCTCAATAACACTGAATAACTGTTCGAGTTAAAACAGAAAATCTAGGTGGCGCTGATTTTAGTTTTATATTAGTTCAAATAACTATACTACCATATGAATTAATTACAAATATACATAAAGAAGTATTTTTAGTAATTCATGCATTTTCAATTTTAAAGAACCTTTCTTCTTTTTTTTATTATTTTTGTTAGTATTTTGCAGAGCCGTGAGACACGGCGACGTAATTTCAAAACAGTATTTGTTTGACACTTATGTACAATTGTATATACTTAGATATTATTTAAAATTATACAATACTTTATGAAAATTCTATAATTTTGCTTTTTATTTAAATGAACATCGCTTAAAATCGATATGGCCCACAACGGGACGTAGCTACAAGCCTGTAGCTGAAAGCAAACAATAATTTTAGTGATCTGTAAGAGCAATCAAAGTTGTTAATTATCCTCGTATTAACACAGTGTTATGTGGCATAGTGGTCTAAGTGCATACCCTTGTAATTGTGGCGGCTGGCCGTCTGATGGATGGCTGCAGTCTTCGACCACCACAGAGAATGAATAGCTTTCTGGTTGACAGTTGTATTTTAGTTCGGAAGATATATAGAAGTTTATAACATGTTCTATGTATTGTATACAGACTGAATGCAAATAATGTCTGTAGTTTACGCGAGTAGTACACATTTAAATAGAACACTTTAACGGTTTTAAACGCGGTATATATAAGTTAAACTTATTTGTAGCAGCTGTGGTCACGGAAAGAATATATATTAATGATTAATTGCTTAATTTCCTATTAATTTTAACGTATATAATTGCGTTTTAAGCCGTTAAATTGTTTTATTTAGACTTATCGCAATTTATATAGATAATATCAAAATATTGAACGTAAGTACATACAACTTTTTATATTTTAAAGTGTATAATAAGGATTTAATATAATAGCATGATCCATTCATAAGTCTCATCGGTCCGTTAGTTGGGTTAGTAACAATTTGACTTATGTCGTATATTGATGTAGGTATGTTGCTGATTAGACTTGGAAAAAAATATATAGTGACTATTTTGTGCTTCGTTTATGGTGAATATTTTTACATAAACACTTTAACGGTTTAAAACGCGATATAGGTATATTAGTTAAATGCTTTGCAAAGCATCCGAAACATCCGGCCGTAGTTATAATAATTTTCAGATAAGTTTAATATATATCGCGTTTTAAACCGTTAAAGTGTTTTATTTAAATCTGTACTACTCGACAAACTACAGACAGTATTTAAGGTAAATTTTAGATAACGGAAAATGTTACTTGAAATAGATATCACAACTGTAACGGAATTAAACCGTTAATATCAACATTGAAACAATAGGGTTCAACAAAACATTTGAGGGTAGGTTATTAAAGTCAAACACTGTTTGGTGTCAACTGTAAATACAGTTCAATCCACAGTAGTTACTTATATCAGTAACGAAATAATTTTTTATTCGAAAATTGTTTCGCTCTGTTCAGTGTTACCCGAGTTATAACTGCTGAGATCGCCATTTGTTTTTTTAATTTTCTAAATTAATTATAAGATAAAAGCATGGTATTTTTAAATTATAAAATTGATTAAAATTAAAAAAAATGTGATAATAGTATTATTTTAATTTTGTCATCTCTACCAACTGAGTTAAAAAAAATAATTTCATTAAAATAGGTATATTTCATTTTTGTGAAGTTATTCACTTTGTTTATTCTGAAAATTAGAGGGTTTTTTCTTTTAATTCACCCATTTAGGACATTAAAATCTATTTGAAAAAGGGGATACAATGTTTGGGAGTTACTTAATAGAAGGTAGAAAATACAAGCCTATTTAGGCTGTAAATGTTTGAAACAATCTTGATACTAGTAACCAAAACGCCGATTTATACAATACAATATTAATTTAAATATAACACTTTTAACGGTATAATAATAAATAAAATTTATTTTAGGCCCGACGTTACCGATGCTTGGAACAGCCGTCGTTTCACAGGGGGACTGAAGATGAAATGTTTAGGGACAGCAAACGTACGTGTTTTAAACCGTTAAAATTGTTCTATTTAAATATGTACTACGCGCAGTAATAAACTACTGACAATACTCAATATTGACTATTTAAGACACCAGCCAGGTACTACAAAGTTATGGCCCGCAATCCTAGCAAATCATATCTCGATGAACAACTACAAATTCTATAGACTATGGATTTGCGAGTAGCGAGCACGTTGCGATGAATGTACACCCGCCTTTAATGTCGTATGATTAAACATGAAGTGAGGACTTTATCAAAATTTGGCACGCGTTTGTTTTCGGATGGGGCGTCACTGTTTGCAGACCGAGCATGCAGCTTCCACGTTTAGATAGACCCGTCAATATGTCGGGCTTCGGGAATCTTGAGTGATTGCTAGATAAACATGCATCTCCCAAAATATAGTGCCCGTGTTTCTTTATAGACCGCTACAGTGTGAAGCGGATCAGACCCGTTGGGGATGTACCTATGTACAAATAAATATATAAGTTAATCATTGTCTCGAACTATTTTCGTACCGGTATCATTATCGCTGAGGAGGGCTTTGATTTCCGCCACGAGTGTTATGTTAGAGTAGGGCAGACATTCCTCACTTGATGGAAGTTAAAATTTAACCCATCGAAATAACATAATAATAACTGTATTTCGATATTCTAACCACATATTTAACATCTAGATTTAACAAACAGAGTCCAAAATGTTTTAGAATTAGTATAAATTGAATAAAAATATCTTGGATCCGGTGGGGATCGAATCTACAACCGTCGAATTATTGTTCGAGAGATTTCTCAACAAGCCTATCCGGGGGAAATCAACAGGGTGGGGGGGTTAGTTTGTCGTCACGACCACTAATTCAACATATTCATTTTATTTACAAAAGTTAATAAAATACCTACTTTTATCAAAATTACATTATTTTTTTCTTTTGTAACTTAAATTAAGTTTTTAACTTGACCAC